TTAGTGCTTGCTCTGACCCAGCCCGACATAGCCCATCTCCTGTCTTGGTCTTGCCATTGAATACTGCAGCCTGTCCTCTCTTGCCCCATCCGCAGACCCAACTCTCACTGATTGGTGCTGTAGCCTAGGCGTACACTCCACCTGGCTCCTGTATATGCTCAGGTCTGGCCCAGCCCTGCCCGGTCTGCCCCCACCTCCAAAAGTCATCCCTCACCTGTAACATACCACCTCAGCAATCCTCTCTCTCACACATCCCCATACCACCTTCCATGTGCAATTCACAGTCCCTAGAAGCACATGGGTTCCCCAGCTCAGTCTTCCCAAGCCCTGTCTTCCAGTGGGGTGGCGTGCTGGCCTGGAGCTCTGCCCGCCCACCACCAACTCAAGCTCCTGTCATGTGTGCTTGAGACTCAACACCTTTTGTCCACTCTCAATCCAAGCAATTCACAGTTCCCCAAGTCTGGTCCACCAACACAACATGCCAGCATGCTAACCTATGCAAGCCCCCACCCTTAGGCCCCCATGAGCCCACCGGCACAGCGGAAGCCTGGCGATTTCCACTGGCAGAACTTGTGCTTCTTTTCAAACTGTGTGCTCTGCTCATGTTGCCAAGTCAGTTATTCAGTTGTTGGATTATCCTTGGCACTTTGTATTCCTTAACTTCCTCCATTCTGTTTTCAACTTCCTGCTGCTCACCTCCCCCACTTCTCCCTTCCCTTGCACTGCTCCTTCAGCTTCTTATCTTCATCCTCTTCTTCCTCCACTTCCCCATGCCATCTTCCTTTGTTCCTTCTAATTCATCTTTAGATACAAAGGACCATGGCATCTAGTTTCCCTCTAAAACTAGCTTTTATATCACCACCCCACTTCTTTGAAATGCCTACTGCATTGTACCTTTTAATTTTGTGATGTCGAGAAAAATACCCAACTTCTTCTGCTTTAACTTTTCCCTCTGTGAAATGGAGGTGCTGCTTTCCCAGGCATGTAAGCAGGAAACGGGATCAGAAACGAAGGAGCCAGGCTCAAACCAGCACTCACATGGGTTGCTAACATAATAGGCAAAGGCTTAACCCACCAAACCACAATGCTGGCCGCTATACAGATAAGCTTTACACGTTTTGAAAGATTTATTTATTATTTTTATTGGAAAGGCAAATTTTACAGAGAGAAGTAGAGACAGAGGAAGATGTCCTGCCCATTGATTTACTCCCCAAATGACTGCAATGGCTGGAACTGAGCTGTTGTGTAGCCAGGAGCCAGGAGCCTCTTCTGGGTCTTTCACATCAGTGCAAGGTCCTGAGGCTTTGAACCATCCTCTACTGCTTTCCCAGGCCGCAAGCAGAGAGCTGGATGGCAAGTGGAGCAGCTGGGACATGAACTGGTTCCTATATGGGATCCTGGCTATTGCAAGGCGAGGATTTAGTCACTGTGCCATCACGCAGGACCCTACCTACACGTGTTTCTTAGCTGTCTTTGTTTTTATTACTGTATATTTTATTGCTATTATTCCTATTATCTGCCTACATTATTTTTTTAAAGATTTATTTTTATTATTTTTTTTATTGGAAAGGCAGATGTACAGAGAGGAGAGACAGAGAGGAAGATCTTCCGTCCGATGATTCACTCCCCAAGTGAGCGCAACGGCCGATGCTATGCCGATCCGAAGCCAGGAGCCTCTTCAGGGTCTCCCATGTGGGTGCAGGGTCCCAAAGCTTTTGGGCCGTCCTCGACTGCTTTCCCAGGCCACAGGCAGGGAGCTGAATGGGAAGCGGGGCTGCCGGGATTAGAACCGGCGCCCATATCTGCCTACATTCTTTACTACTAGAGATATTCATGTCATATTAATTTATTAAATAATATTTAAGGTAATTAATATGAAGAAATTATGTAAGCTTTTCACCTATCTTTCATAGGTAAAATTTCCCTAAGTACAGACTTGACACTTCCCTTTACAAAGCTGTTTTTCAGGAAGGGGAAGGATGTTTGTGGAAGGGTCAGGTACTCGTGAAGAAGCTTCCGGAAGGCACTTAATGCTGCAGTGGGTTGGCTGGGCTCCAAAGTAGTCAACCATTGCTAGGGATTTGTTGTTCCAGTATTGGTAGCTTGAAAATGTTGATGATGGGAGAATTTGCACTCTAGAAATCTGCAAATGCGGCAAATCTGGGCTCCTGCAAGAGCAGAGCACCCTTGGCTAGTGGACAGGATGACTAAGAAGTTCAATGTAGCAACCACCTGCCTTGCTGTAAATTTCAACATGAAGTGACTTTAAATATTTCATGGAAAATGGAATTGAACTGTAAATTTAGTGGAAATATTTACAATCTATGCAGAGTTTTATTCAAAACAAGTATTTTTCTCAAATTTTTTTGATTCACCATTGGACAACATCTGCAGGATTTAACAGCTAGTCTGTGGTATTAAACATTAATATAATCTGCAGGATCAAAGATGTCCCTTCGTGTATTTCTATGTGTTTTTTAGTGGTTAGTGGCCAAGTGAAGTTTTTGAGCCCAACTTAAGGAACTAAGAGTATCTCTCTTCAATAAAAAAAAATATGTATTTTCAGCTTTCTCCCAAAGTTTAGAAACAATTTAGAGCAATCTTAGGTTTTTAGAATAATTCCAGTTTTAATGAAAACATTCAAACTTGAAGAAAATACTGTAAGAAAACATGAGCTCTGAATATTTTAATCATAGTAATTTATAATTCTTTGAAAAATAGTCTGCAAAATGCCAAGCTGGTGGCTCTTCTTTTTTTTTTTTCACTTACCTAGTGAGAAAAAACCACATTCAGATCTTTTGAAACTGAGTTCACCAGTTCCACTTCCTGTTGTGAAGGGTAGAATGTGTCTCCTACTCTGAAGTTTTCAAAGATTGTTTTCATTCTCTTGTATAAACCAGTGTGGGTTTCACATTCACATCTATCGAATGAAACCAAAACTCCTTGTAATTTTATATTTCTATCATATCTAGTGGATTCCTGGCCAAAAAGCCACTTTGGAAGCCAATACTTTTCCTTTAGCAGGACAGAGCTTAGTTGACTCAACTACTAAGTTCTTCCTTTACGCAGCTGGTTATGGCTCTGGCTTGGGGTTGCACTCCCTGTGTTTGAGGTAGTACCAAAATCATGCTTTGGATTGCTCCTCCTTTGGATTGGCTGCTTAAGAATCCAGCCGAGATCATGCAACCATCTTGGGCAACACTAAGACAGCACCCACATCGATTGGGGCTACACAAGGGCAGGTGGAGGAGCTGGGATCTCCCCAGATGGTGGAGGAGACTCATGGGTATCCATCCCTCTAGGAGCCATGGAATGAGCATTCTCTCCTCACCCTGTGGGTCTTCAGCTGTACTCTGGCATTCCTCTTCCTTGTCTGAACTCCTGTCATTTCACATTGCTCATCTGACATGGAGAGCTCTCACAGTGACTGCCTAACTTCTGTTTTTCTTCTCAGTCCCCTGGGTTCTTAACATGTCTGTGGGTTTTCTGATGACTCAAGCTCCCCGGAGTTTGTAGTCTGATATCCCTCCGAATTCACACATCCTCCGCTTTGCCTGCAGGCCTGGCTCACAGCTAAGCTTTCTCTGTCCAAATGAAATATGCATTTGGGCAAAATGGTTTTTTTAATAAGTACTAATTAGGTTTGCTGCTCTAATTGGCATATCACAAAGGATTCTAGCCAGTCATTTGGGGGAATGGTAGGAAGGTTAGTCAAAGAAGGGCACTGTGGCTGCGTTCCTTCCCTGATAACATGCTTTCATTCGAGCAGCATGTTGTGATTGTCACACATCCACCTTTGAGTAAGTCTTGGACAGATCTTACCTTTGCTGTGTCCTGTTTTATTCACAGGTGGTTAGTTTTCCTAGGGATAATGCTTTTATATGTATAATAATTTTATATGTATAATAGTTATGTGAACATGTTTTGATTTTACAGGCAATAAGTTGGGTTCAGAAAGTGACTTTTCTTTGGGTAACGCAGCTGGTCATCATCACAGCTGTGAATTAATTCTAGGCCTCTGGATTTTAAAACCTTATTCTGCATTTACTATGCACATGTCACATACTATCCTAAAACACACAATAGGACACGCAATAACTGTTACAGGAACAGTTTGAAATGTGGAATATCACCCAGATGCAGTCAACTAACATTTAAAATGTCATATGTCATGCAGACAGAGACACAAGAGAACCCTTTGAGAGCATCTTTTTTTTTTTTTTTTGGTTTTCCAGTCTGATTTTACATGAGTTTGATGAAGTATAATGAAAAAAAAAATGTGCATTTTATGCATGTTGTCACTTGCCTGATTGGAACATTTGCAGTACTCATGCAGAATAGTTGTTGGTCATGAATTTATCTTCCATTCAACAGTCAAGAAATACAGACTGAATAAGACCTTTGAGTCTGGCTGTAAATGAGACTTTCTTGCTAAGGAGGTTTTAGTGGGGACTGAGATCCGAGCAAGAGAAATCAGAAACTTTTCGGAGGGGGCTGGTGTTCAGTGCATGTGGTTTTAAAGCAGCAGGACCTTGAGCTTAATAGTCGAGAAGTCAACCTAATATAGTTTGAGATTGTGGCAATTATCTTCCAGCTGCATTTAAATCATCATTGTTACTTAGAAATTGCACGAAAAGAAGCAGGGTATTTTTTCTTTTCACAGAGATGTAAAAGGGGATATAGTTTATGACTTCTAAAAACTTGAGTGAATGCTGTACCATCATAACTGAACTACTGGTGTGAGCGCTGTGGGTGGAAACAGGAAACATTAGTGATGAATGTTGCTACCTTGTTTTAGGGTTCAGCTCCATGCATGCTGATTCTAATTAGCACATTTTGTGCCTCCCCTAGCAGCACTCCTTTGGCTCTGCTTGGAGAGTTTTTTTTTTTTAAGATTCCAGCCTGCTCTTAAACACTGCCGCCTCCTCCCTCCTTCTCTCTTTACAAATGTTACAACACAATCAGAAATTTCCTCTTTTCTTTCCTTTCTGCATTTGCAGCAGGTTCCCTTGCGTCAGAAGCCGAGGAAGAAAACTCAAGGTAATTAGAGCTCTTTTGTTTCATTATCCCGTTTCTGTGTGCCGGAGTGTAGCTGCTTTCTGGGGGATCGCATTTTTGTCTCTGAACACTAATATCAGGAGGCGGACGACAGATTTAATTTTCAGTTATTTTTGGACTGATTTTAAGAAACGGCGGCATGCTGCTCATTTGCCTTCGTCCTTAGTGGTGTGTCAGTAGAACCTGGGAACGCTGGCATTGAGTGGGGAAGTAGCTGTGTGTTTAGGTGGGCATTAACCCCTCAATGTCTATTGCATAACTACTGCTAGTATCTTGCAAAGGCGATCTGTGGCTGCAATAAGCTGCCTGTGAGCCTCATAATTTAATTTTTTTTTCGACTTACTCTTGGGGAATAATCTCAGATGAACACTTAAAATAGCCGTCTCAGTGTTTCTTTGGTGGTAACGTACACCTTCTAGGCGGCAGATGAAAGCTATGTGACTTTTTTTTTTTTGCATTTACTTTGCATAGATCTTGGTGAAAACTTTCACCCCCAGGAGCAGCTAAATAATAAAAAGTTATCTTTGTGTCACAGGGACCAGAGTCACACTCTTTTTTTCTCTCCCTCTTCATGGATTTGCTGCAGGGTTTTTCACGATGAGTCGGAGGAGGATATCATGCAGAGATCTGGGCCATGCTGACTGCCAGGGGTGGCTCTACAAGAAAAAGGAAAAGGGAACTTTCTTAAGCAATAAATGGAAAAAGTTCTGGGTGGTGCTGAAGGGGACATCGCTGTACTGGTACAGCAACCAAATGGTGAGTCCGCGTCCTCACTCCTGCTGTCAGCCTCATTGGCAAAGGTTCCTGAAAGACCAGCCATCACGTGATCCCTACAGGAAAGTGAATTTTGCTCTCTGGAATTTGAAACAGAGAAAATGCTGAACTAGAGGAACCGTCTGATTCGGTAGATATGCAGGGGCTGACTGTTGTCTCCTGTTCCATGGTGATATGAGACTACAGATTGTACAAAGGAGAAAATTGTCCCACTGGGAGAAGTGTGCATGAGTGTGAGGGTAAGGTTGTATGTGTGTGAGATTGTGTGAGTGTGTGTGAACATGCGTGTGTGTGTATGAGAGCGAATGTGTGAGTATGTGAGAGTGTGTGTGAGTGTGTGTGTGTTCAAATGTCTACCCCGAAAGCTAAAGGAAGCTTTCAGGTCATACAAATATGAATATTTCAAGAGGGGTTCTAGTTGCTTCAGGCTTTTCCTGGAGACCACTTCGCGTGAACTGTCAGTCTGTTAAAGTGGGACCCAGCTTCAGGAATTACTAAGGGTTGAGACTAACTGGAGTCAGAGAAGCTCTTCCCGTTTCTCGTCCTTCGCTGTCTCCTTCTCGGTCATTGTGAGCGTTGATACAGAGTCACCTCCCCCCGGCTCCTGTTTGGTGTTGCTGACCGCTGTCTCCTGTTATGTGGTGGCATTGGAGAGCGTGGTGAAGACGTTGCCTGACTATCCTGTAACAGGCAGTATACTATTGTGGTTTGCTATGTAGGTTAGTTTGCCTCTGAAAAAGGCAGGAAATAAGGTTGGAAATGAGAAGATTTGCTGATCTTGAGTGGTGGAAAACATTCTGAAAGTGATGCTGTCATTGAATATTGAAAAAATGTATGCTTTCCAAGTAGGAGTTCTCTGCATTGTTCCAGTGGGCTGCATTGCTAAACCCAAGGCAGCCTGAACCTCTTTGTGGCGTAGGAAAGATGAATAATGAATATCCTTTATTTAATTAGTGAAAAACATCTGGGAATTTTTCATACTAGAAAAATTATTTCATTCTTTGTGACACTGTTTTTCTTACGATGTGTGCCTGCCCTCCACTTAGGCAACAGAACTGTAGAACTTTGTAAGTATGAAGTAAATGCCTCGTATTATTTGTGACAAAAGGTTTCAGTTGATAAACTTAGGTTCCTTGGTTACTGATCAAAAATAATATGATGTATACTTGCCTCTAGATAACTTTGAAGATTTGGTTCAACTGAATCCAAATCCATGTCAAGTGTGCTAGAATAAGTACCCTTTCTTGCTTCTCTGTTTACAGTTCATAAATTTATTGGCTCAGTTTTCACCCCCCAGGCAAATCCAGTTAAATTGTTGCGTTGGCTGAAATACATTTCTTCAAGCGTTTGATGAGTTTGACAACTTCCTTGGTCGTGTAACCTTGCAGGGTGTGGAGCTGTTCATCACCGTGTTTCTCTTGTCTTTCTTCTCTTCATCTTGTGTAGCACAGAATAGTTGGATCAAAATTAAGGCAGTTGGGCACAGGGAATCCTATGGGCCTGACTTCTATTGTAAAAGAATTCCCCTCCTCCCTATGCATAGTTGCTTTCTAAAGGAAGAATTAAGTTTAATATCAGTGTCTCCCTGTTTTCAATTATTGTAGGCCCCTGGAGCTGGGGAGTTGCAACACATGATAATCATTTATAGCTTTTAGAAAATGAGAGGGCTTACAGATTTACCTGTTAGCAGCCCTTGGGGGGTTCCCAGAGGCTGTTGGATAGATTGGGTGCCGATGGAGCATTGAGCCTCTGTGGGGAATAAGAAGGCACAGCTACCAGTGGGCCTTCATTTTCTCAATCAAGTCATTCCACAAATAGGTTCCGCATGTTGTCCCCAGTCTTCCCGGAACCCACATCCCTCTGAAGGCTATATGCTTGCAGATTTGGCTCATTGGTTTTCGTCAGCTCATTTGGTGTTTACGTCGCATAGAGGAGATGGGAGTTACCTGTAAGTGTTAGGCGTTTCACTATTTTTTTGTGTTATGGACTGTGTGCTTCTCCAGAGAGCAGCATCGTTGACAAGCACAGAAATCAGTTTTCAGATTGCAGACATGTTTTTGCATAGAGCTGGATTGTTAGCAATGAATGGAGAAGAAGCTTGCTGCTATCTGCCCTGGGAGATACAGAATTAAATTAACGGTCTAACAGAAAGACCTTCTCAGAGAGTTCTCTCTGCCACATGGATATGCACATGTACAAATGCGTGTGGACAATTACCTTGACATCTTTCCTTTGTGGGGAAAGTCTTCAATGAATAATTATCAGTCATATTCCTGCTATCCCTGTAACCAACACCTGGAAAATAAGGACCAAACCACACTGTAAGTTCACAACATTTATTTACTTTTGGTTCCTTAAATTCGTATCCAGAAAAGCTGATCCTAAGGCAGAGTCTTAATGGGTAGACTTTTGTTCTGCCTTCCATATTCTTTGCTTGTGGAAATAGCAAGCTTCCTCATCGGTGCCTTTGAAAGGAGCGTGGTGCTGGGAAGTCACAGAGTCAGCAGCACTGCACCCCAAGTCACCGCCCAGCACACATTAGCCAGGTGCCATGGCATGCTGGAGACTCCCCTCCTCTGTGCTCCTTTCACTCCCTGGCAGAATTCTAAGAGCATGAAAGTTGGGCATATTGAGACTCAGAGACTTTGCGCAAATTGCCTCAACATGCACAAGTTGTAAGTGGAAGAAAACATTCTCACATTCAGAATCCCTTTGACTGCAAACCTATGGTTACTGCAGCCTGCCGACTGATTCCATCTGGGGACCAGGCTAAATGACACAGTGAAGACCGTCCTATTTTCTACCTTCAATAGGGCTCTGAAAAAGCAACTGTGGAGATGATTGCCAGGCTAATCCTCCAGGGAAATTATAACGCAGCTCCAGTGGATCCATTTGCTGATCGCTGGCACTGCCTCAGGAGCCCCAGCATCCTTTCCTTTCTCCTGAGTTAGATTTTGTTATCTCTGCTTGGGATGCCTCCTTCTTGCACCACATACTGCTGCTCCAAGCTGTGTTCCCCAGACTCCCCGGAGGAAGGGCAGGACCAGAGACTTATGTGCTATTTTTCACTCCACATTTTCTGTGCTTAGAATGCAACTGAGCACAGAAGATTGCACGCCAAGTTTTACAAAGCCATGTGTAATTTTAACAGACCTCCAAATCCAGGCTGTTTTAAAATCTGGTTTTAAAATCTCCCACCGCTCTCTCTCTCTTTCTCTCTCTTTATTTCTATTTGCCCTTGAGATAAAGTTCAGTTTCATTTCCTGGTCATGGGTGTCTCCTTAGCCATTACCTGTTTAACTTACCACACATTTGCCACCCCAATCTGAGTGTCACTGTTGTAGATTGTTTTAAATCATTACCACATGGGCTGGCTTTCCCTCTGTCTTGTGTAAGCTCTTAATCTGCTCAGAAACTGTCTTTGGCCCCATGTCATGAAGTCGTTTCCCACCCACTTCCATCAGACCCATTGCTCCTGAGTCAATTTTTGTTTAAATAGCTTTTCTTCTGGGCAGAATGGACCTGAATTTGGCCAACTCTGTTTGCTCCCTGAGCAGGCTCTCGCTTTCCTGTTATCGCACTTGACCTCTTTTCTGACCCTGTGGTCAGACGTGGTGTTTTCCATAGCTGGTAATGGTTTCTGCAGGGCAAAACCACCGATGAATGGCCAGCACCTTGGAGTCTGACATTCAGCAGGCACTCCAGTAAAACAGTTGATTTCATATGTAAAATGAGATTGGGAATCACCAACAATTACCTTATCCATGAGAATTTTGAGAAGTAGGTTTGATAAAGGATTGATTTTTATAGGAAATAATGTTTCAGTAAAGGAATTCCTACTCTATTTGCAAAACAGATACAAGAAAAGGTGGCACTTGAAGTTTGCTAAAATGGCCCCATGGTCCCATGTATTCCTGTAGTGCGATTGCTACTTTTCCATTGATTGATAAGCAGCCGTGAGACATGGAGGATTGGGGGTGGGCATTCCAATCGGGAACTAATGTGACAGGGAACCAAAATGTCCATGAGCTGTGTGCCATGGACACCCACTGTGTTAGGCACTGAGAGTTTCCAGAAGCATAGCGGATTTAAATAACTTGTTCCAAGTTTTCTGAGGAAGAATTGGCAGCACTGGGGTTATGAGTAAGGTCCTTTAATCCTATAGCTAGATTGTCTTCTGCAGACACCTGGACCTAGTGTAGTAAGAATGTGGGTTTGCAACAACAAACAGTAGAGAGCTGCTGAATGTGCTTGAGCTGGAATGTGATCCAACAGGATTGGCATGTGGATAGTATCAGCCCAGCAGCAACAAAGGCGATGCACTACGGGATGACAGAAGGTTGAGCTAGTGATGAAATACAGGATCAGACATTAGCAGTGGCAATTTGAGCTTGGGAGATTGGGAAGATGATGTGATTGTGGAGAGAAGGAGAATTTCTAACAAAACTTAGACAATTTCATCTTGAGTTGTTGTCATTTGGTTTGCATACTTATATATGGCAATGTATACTGCTTCTTAATATGAAATGAATAGAAATTGTCTTAAAAAATAATGTAACATTTTGTGTCACTACAGTTCAAGAGAGTCCCCTTGATCAACTACCTAGCTCTTTATTTCATAAAAACTTTAGATAAGCTGATGATGTTTGTAGATTAATATCTGCTTTAACACATGTTACACAGACTTTCCCATGTTTTGAAAATCCAGGCTGTGCAAATGGGGTTGTTTTTCCCTTGCTCATATGAATGGTTTCACATGACTGTGGATGAACTGTGTCTGTATCACATGTTTTCTATATTCCTCTGCATTTACACTTCATATGGATTCTGTCGTATTTTAGATTTGGAAGGCTTTTTATTGGACTAGGTCTTGTGAGAATTTCTATAGTAAAGATGTAATCAATTTTAGATGAAGAAAAAATTTATCCTTCTTAGCATGTGCTATTCAAAAGTCAAAATTTGTCTGCTCATGGAATGGCCAT